AGGGAGGGAGAGACGGAGAGGGAGGGAGATATAGAGAGGGAGGGAGATATAGAGAGGGAGAGAGAGGCGAAAGGGGGGCGGGGGCGTTAGGGGAGGGCGTGCACGGACAGAGCTGCCGGAAATGAACAAGCGTGCTCCTCCCCTTCCGGTGTCCCCGGCGTGTCCCCGGGCGTGTCCCGTATCCTTGCTGCTGGAGTGTGTCCCCGGCGTGTCCCCGCGGACGGCGCGCACGGTCACGGTGTGGTGGACGCGGAGGAGATCTCTCGCCTTCCACACACACCTCCTCCTGGCGACCCTGACGGACTGACGCCCCCTCCCCTCCACCGCGCCAGTGGAATAAGCGGGCAGGTAGGGGCCTGTTTGCGTCTAGTTAGGGTGAGCGGTGTCAGCTGCTTGTGTTGCCCCATCCCCTCCCCCTGCTCCTCCAGAACCTCGCCTTACACCGCGCGAGCCCTTCTGCTTCTGAGCTCTGCCCACCCTTCATTTTCGCACCTGCTCCCCACAATTTCGCCAGTTTTGCACGGAACGCCAAGCCCCGTCCCCCCTCCCCTCCACCCATCCGCGGGGTGAGGTAAGAGGGCGGCGGGGGTTAAGGGGGGGAGGACTTCCGTAGGCAAGCCAAAAAGGTTGGCGGTGGCAGCCCGAAGTTACACAACAAACAGAAAGGGCGGGGGCCGGGGGACAGGGAGGGCGGCTGCCGCCAGCAGAGGAATGCGAAAAGCCATTTTAATTAATTTGACCGGGTTGGAGGCTGCCCGGCTCCGCCCGGCCCGCCCGGCCCGCCCGGCCCGACCCGCCCGGCGCGAGCCGTGTCGTGTCCATGTCATGGCGGACACAAGGGGGTAAATCAGGGCAGAGTGTTCGAAACAAAACTGTGAGCGCGGACGCCCCTCCTGACACCCCTTAGACGCGGCGGGCAGCAGGCGGGCGCCAGGCTGGGCCGAGTGGCGCCCCCCAGCGGCGTCCACTCGCGGACATACTCCATGCCGAGGGCACTGGGACTGGGGGGCAGACAGCAGGTGTCGCGTATGTTCTGCGGCTAAACAACGGTTCTCTCTGTCTCATTCATCCATGCATTTTCGTTCATGCATTCATTCATGCATTCATGCATTCATGCATTCATTCATTCATTCATTCATTCATTCATTCATTCATTCATTCATTTATTCGTTCGTTCCATTCATTACCTCATTCATTCTGTCATTCGCAACTTTATCTCAGTCACTCTCTCTCTCTCTCCCCACACTGTCAAAGGCCGCCAATTGAAAAGTGTATCACGCTTCGTTGTTGTGTTTTGGAATGGTTTGGGACTGTTTGATATATGCATAACTGAAGTAAGAAAAAAAAACCCTTGATAATCTAGAGCAGGATGAAGGCTGGATGACTGAAGAAAGTCAATGGAATATAAGCCGGCGCCTTAGGACAAAAAGAAAACAGGTACTCGTAATAAATTAAAAGTATATTTTATAACCTGGAAATAAAGTGGATTTACATCAAAAATCAAAAGTAAGATGTTTCGAAAAATTTTAGAGATTAACCCTTTTAGCTTTAAGAAGGACTGTGAGGAGACCATATTGATTTCAGGCTGCTAAGTTGAGGCCAATCTGTCGAGCTTTTCATCGAATTTTGATTAAATTACATTGGTCTTTCGGCGAACATAGGCCCTTTATAAGCGTAGATGCAAATTAATGCAGTACAGGACAAAGTGTGAGTTAAGTGGACGCGCAGTCAACAAAATGGATACTTCGCAAAGTCTTTTTAACAGTTTGGCACACTTAGGACTGGCAGCATTCTATTTTGAACAGCATGGCACATCACATAACAATCGCATTTCGTATCTACACAGAAACGTCTTGACATTAAAATTTAGCCATCTAAGGATTGAGTAACAGCACAGAGGTTTTGGTCTCCGTAAGACCAATTCACAAGGACACAACTCAATAACAAAGGAGCATAAAATAATTTGACATATTGTCACAAGGTAACCCATAGTGTTCGACTAGAAAGATGTCTCATTAAAATAAAGGGAAAGAAGGACAATATAGTCTAACCATTTGGCATTAAATCTGTACAATAAAGGTAAATAGCTATATAACTTGCTTGTTCTCTAAAAATAAACATCATTAGGAATAACAGTGCGAAAATTAAACAATAGATTTTTCTCTTTTATCACGGATATAAATAAATAAATCTTTGCTTTAAATGTGCATTTGCAGGTTTGGTCGTCAAAGTGGCTGCCGAGGGGATGTCAATTCAACACAGGACCGCACAATCAGACTGCATTGAATTGACTTCGCTTCGGACCATTCGTACTGCTTTGTTCCTCTATATAAGCACTTCCTTCTGCAGAAAACAACTTTGTACTCTCAACTTCTGATTAACGAGCGTCCATCGCTAACTGACAGCTGGCACTGACGGACTATTATTGACTCAAGTTGCCCTTAACCACAGTAAACAAAGTCATGATCCTGCTCGAAGCGTGTTAGACAATATTTACATTCTGTAAAGGACAACAAGAATAACTTTCTACAACATACTGAGAAGAACTAGACCTACCAGTGACCGTTTTTTCCTGGACCTGCAGCCTCCTCCTGAACAGTGGATTGAACATGGTTTCTTCAGTTTTGATGTTGCTCGGTTCAGCTCACAAAACGTCTAACACGATCTACTGTTCCATTAAATTGTCATCACAAGGACTCTGTCTACAATTTCACTAGACTATGCCATTCACCTACACGACACTGGCAACAGGCAACACTCCGTGCGAAATCTTAAGCAGGGCTACATGACAAGTGACACCAAATCACTAGGTAAAATTTTCTAACATTCAGACGAATTGGAAATGAAAGTGTCTTCAACCAACGCATTTCTTCTGTAGCTCTCTGAGGTCGAGCAAATAACCAAGGCACCTCTTAAAGTCTAGAAACCGGTCGCGAATCATACGGAACATTACATTGAAAACAAGTAAGTAAAACGAGGCCGCGGAATGCACAAAACCCAGTCCGAAATGGGACGTCATGACATCAAATAGATGCCTTAAAGGTGAAAACAACGTCATAACAATAAGTGTTAAAAGAATTTTTTCCTTGGGAAGTTTAAGGTTGCCCCACCGCACCTTCGGGCCGCTGGGGCCTGCGGGCAACGGCGGTGGCGCAAAAACACTAGGAGCACAGCTATCACAAGAAAAATCACCAACCCCTTCCAAACGAAACTTGAGCGGCGGCTACTCCGCCAGGCAGCCATAGCCAAACACGGCGGGTATATATAGAATCTCACAGACGCGACAACGAATAAACACGAAGCGAGTAAGACAAGTCTTCGAGGGGCGGTGCTCCGTTCCCTCGGGTCTTAACGTTACCGAACCAGTCGGCAACGAGAAACGGAAAACCGTAGCGAGTATTGAGACCTTCCACGTGGGGACTCGGCCAGATGGCCAAAAACAAATTAGCGACCGTGCAGTTACCCTGGGCCACCGGACGGCAAGAGAGCTGAGGGACGGGGTTCACGGACCTCCCCGCAAGTCGGCGCGGTATATATACCCCTCGCCCGTGAGACACTGGCGCGCGGAGTACTGCCGGTGGCGGCAGGCTGCACGCATTCGCACGTCAGATCGAACAGAGCGGCGGCGCCGGAGCTCCAGTCCCATATCGACCTGACAAGAGAGAACCCCCCACACGCCTGCAAATGGCGACGACGAAAAATGCGGCCAGGGGGTATCTCGAATAGCAGGGAAGCCTAAAGGGGAGGCCACCACCACGATCACCACCACCACCACCCGGACCACCGCTGCCACCAGCAGCAGCAGGGCCCAAAGCTCAGAGGCGCCCCCACCCTGGGATAACATCACGAGGCGCAGCAGAACGACGGGGATTATGTGCGAGTGCGAGCGAGACGACCTACAGGATAATCCCCCGCGCACTCGCACAATCGCTGTCAGGCAGCAGCGGCAGCTATCTCTGTCGCACAGCAGCGCCTCGCGGCGCCACCCACACGGGGCGGGGGGCTGCAGTCACGTACCTCAGGGCGCGACCCCGCAGGGCCCGCAGGGCACGACTACAGGGCAGTCTCTCGATGGGTTCCTCCTTGGTGGGTTCCTCCGGGATGTGTTCCTCCCGGGTGGGTTCCTCCTGGGTGGGTTCCTACGGGGTGTGTTCCTCCCGATTGGGTTCCTACGGGATGTGTTCCTCCCGAGTGGGTTCCTGCGGGATGGGTTCCTATGTGGTATGTCCCCGCGGGGTGGGTTCCTGCGGAATGAGGACCTCCAGGATGAGGGCTCCCAGAGTGGGGAACTGTGGGCTGTACGCTCACAGCATGAGGACCTCCAACGTGTATGCTTACAGAATGGGGACCTCCAGGATGTGGGGCTACATGGTGGGGGACCCCGGGGTGATGGGGTCCTCCAGGGGCTAAATGTCATGCAGGCTGGTCGCAGGGCTGCGGCGACGACTGCTGCTTGAGAATGCCTCGGACGGGCGGCCTCGGCGACACGCCGCGCATCTCGCCGATGGTGGGTGAGACTCCGCCCGAGGCCGTGCCGCACGGGGAGGCCGCCGGGGACCGCGACGTGGACGAGTTGGACTGCGGTGAGAGGCGGCCGCCGTGGCCCAGGCTGTCTGGATCCGAGCCGCTGCCCGTCGGGCCGGGATGCTTGGTCGTCGCCGAGCTCGTCCTCGACAGCGGTGGTGGCTGCGGCTGCGCTGAGACCTGGGCGGCCGGCCGCTGACCAGACAGCCGCGAGATGGCCTTTGCCGAGCGTCGGATCTGCGCGTAAAGTAAACCCTCGGTAAGAACGGCGGATCAGATGAGAGGGAGGAAATCCTCGAGAACGGGTCGCACCCACCCCGGCCCACTTACCACCCACAGGCCCTTCTCGGCCTCCTCCTTGACCTCGCCCAGCTGACGCAGCGCGCCCCGGATCACGCGCACGTTCCACGCCAAGTTGTCTGAGGCCTTGGTGAACTTGGCGCCCTTGAGTCCGAGGCCCAGTGCCAGGTTTGGGAAGTCCCGCGCCTTGTCCTCGAGCTGGGCGCAGAGGTCGAGGACGGGCGCGGCGGTCGAGTCGTGCAGGCGCCGCACGGAGGCAAGCTGCTCGCACGCGCGGTCGAGGGTGCACAGGCAGCGCGTCATGTTCTCGCTGAGGGTGTCGGCTTCCAGCCGCAGCATCGGCGACTGAACAGACAAACAAGCAGCTTATCGACCACGGCGAGGTGAAACGCGTACATAACTTCGATTAAGCAGGTGCGCGCGATGGTTAAAGTCAAAATAAGTCTCAGTGTCTCTCACAAAAGAGTAAAAATAAAAATTTACAAAAGTCAAAAGGAACCCGGATATTCTTAAGGTCAAAATACTAATGGAAAAAAAGCGAGGTACGCTAGAAATCAATCTAATGCACAATCTCGGGCACAATTCACCAAAGGGCACATTCATTGGTTACTCACGCCGTCCACCTCCTGAATGTAGACCTTGCGGACGCTGCGCGTCCTCTGGATGCGGTGGGTGATGACCCTGAGACAGTGCTGCATGCTGGCGCCGTCCGACACGCCGCACTCGCAGCGCAGCGCGCTCATAGCCAGGTCCGTCTCGCTGCGAAGTTCCACCATCGCCCGGAGGGAGCGCTCGTTGCTCTGAAAGAAGAAAAAACGACCACGAGTCAAGAAACCGTGAGGGGGGAAAAAATCAAATCTTCAGAAACTCTGCAATAACGCTGATATAAAATCAGATCAAATTTTAGCAAGAGGAGACAGCAATTATTTTTCAACGTCCAAACGAAAAATGAATAGCATATTTGGACAGTGCCAGAGAGAAATCGCGGTGACCTCGTTTCCGCTTCATCTCCCTTCTCGACAAACAAGATAGAAATGGAGGAGCCCTGCCCGCCGCCGCCGGTTTCTCCTTCACTCCCCTATTGTAATGTCATGCAGTATATTCGGAGACATCGATCGAACGTACTTACCTTGACGAGGTCGTCCACGCTACTGATACCCACTGTCCGCAAGTCGAGCTTCTCCTTCTTATAGCGCTTTTTGCTGTTCTGCCTCTGTAAGAAAAAAACAACATAACAGCCAAGATAAATAAAAAGAAGTGAGGGGCGATTCGCGATAAAATAAATAACGACACATCCCGTGTCGTCGGAGCGGCGCGGCACCGTGTCGAGGCGGCGCCGCTCCGCGCACCCTGCCAGTCTCTTCCCAGAAAAGGGAGACTTGGCCTGGGATATTGGCTCTACCTAAGAGGTGACACATGGGTGACACAAATATTGGCTGATGTAATGAATTGCCTTTTAAAGCAGATGCTCAGTGTGGGAATTTTTGTTTCTTTGGAAGTTGTTGGAAAACGCAAGGGTAGAGCAAATTTTTCAAAGTTTGACTAATTTAAAAAAACAAAAAAAAAATTCTCTCAGAAAAAGTTGATTTGATTCACGAGATGGTAAGGCGTTTTTGTTTTGTTTTTTTGGTGGGAGGGGGAGGTCGCAATAACGGTAGAGGCTGCGGCGCTCGCTGCTCTGGACCACTGCATATCGCCCGATACAGACACTGCAGCCAGCCGCGGGCGGCGCCAGGGCCGAACACAAGACGACATGCGGCCGGGTCTAGACCCGCTAGATAGCGATATTGGAAGACGATTGTGATCTCGGACAAGCGTAAGCAATTTCGCACTCGCCGCTGATGTTCGTTGAGTCTGCCGCGCCGTCTCGCGCGCAGGAAAACGACATGCCATGATAATAATGGCGTTTATCGCATTAAACACGAGGCGGGGGAGAGTTTTGCAACCGCGCGGGGAACCAGCCCGCAGGGCTTACTGTGCAATTGCTTCATTTCCAGGCGTCCGAAATAAAGTCGGCAGGCTGCTGCTGGAGCACGGCCCGCCCGGAGGGGTGGGGGTAACTAGCCGGGTCGAGGCCGCGTGCTATCTCCCTTTCGCGCGCGCGACAGCGGAGCACAGCGACAGCGGCCCGCGCGCCCTCGGGCCCGCGCCCGCCAGCCGAGGGGACGAGACGAGGCGCGCCAGAACTTATTGGAAAAGACTTCCACGCAAAACGAGGCGGCGGGGCGTGGCGGGGGCTGCAGCGGCAGCGGGGGGCGTGCCACAGCACAGCAGAACACCCGCCGCGCGCTCCCAGGGACCTCCCACCCCTCCTGCTCCAAACCCCGAGGCGTTCCGGGCGCGGCGGGGCGGGGCGGGGGGGAGGGGGTACATTGCAAGGACGCAGGGAGAGGGAGAGGAGCGGGTGATTAGATTCCGCCGCGCTGTTTTCCGTGTCTGTCGAGGAGATGATTGACGCATTGGTGCGTGGGGCCGGGGGGGGGGGGTGTTGACGGGGCGAGGGGGAGTCCCCGAGCAACTCGACGAGGGACTCGGGCGGGGTGCTAATTTAATTCTGGCAATCAAACAGACGGGACCCGGTCACGGCCGCCTCCCGCCCCGGCTCCGGGCTCACTCACCCCCCGGCGGTGCCACATCTCGATGTGGACGAAGAGGCAGGCGCCGTCCAGCGGCTCGCCCGCCGCGTTCAGCAGCCGCACCACCCGGTAGCCCCGGCTCAGGCAGTGCAGCGGCACGGTGAACTGCCCGATGAAAGGGTCGCCGATGTACTCGTCGTCCAGGACGACGAAGCGCAAGAGGGCGAGCTCGGGCAGGAAGATGACCATCTCAAAGGTCTCCTCGAAGACGGGGCAGTCCCCCTCGTTGGACACGGTGCGCGTCTTCTTCTCTGCAAAAGGGCACAGCGGGCGGCGTCAGGTAGGTGTACTCCGAGTGTACTCCGCGTGTACTCCAAAACAAATTGAATCGACCCCTCGAAGCCAGCGCCAACAGGTAGACGCACTCACCGTTGTTGTCAACCTGGACGCCGAACACCTGCACGGCGACGTAGGGGTCGATGGCGGTGCCGCGCGCGTCGCAGCCGCGGGGCCGGGGCAGGTTCTGGCCGGAGATGACGGTGATGCGGAGCACTAGCGGCGACGTGCCCGGCAGCCCGTTGCGGGGGTCGGCGGCGGGGAAGGGCAGGCCGTCACACATGATGGAGGGCTTGGGGGCCAGCCCCGTGCCCCCGTTGGTCCGGAAGCGCCCCTCGTACACGTCCATGTGCTGCCCCGGCGTCTGCAGGTTCACCGCCACTAGGGCAAAGGGAAGGGCCATTGACAAGGGTTGCACGAAAAAACAAACTACAACTTTCGTAGAAATGATAGATTTGAAATTATTTAACTGAAATAAACTTGACACATTCATACCTATTTGACAACCGGCGTTCCACGCATCCTGGGGGTTGAAGTTGGCCGCCCCGGTGCGCTCGTGGTTGGGGAAGACGCGCGTCAGGCTGTTCCTGCAGTGGGCGATCATGTCCTCGGGGCGGAGGCGCGACATCTTGGAGGCCAGCGAGTCGGACAGCGAGCAGAGGCGGCCGGGGGCGTGGCCGGGCGCCGCGTCCACCGCGTGGCACGAGCGCGGGTCCAGCGCGAACAGGTCCGACAGCTCGCGCACCACCACGCCCGGGCCCGCGCCCTGCACGTCGTCCTCGTCCTGCACCGAGCCCATCTCCTCGTGGCACGCGCTCGGCAGCCGCTTGCCCTGAGTAAAACAGCACTCATTAGACCCGAAAGGTTCCGTAAAAAAAAACAGCACACACAAGCGGTGTAAAAACCCCGGGCGAGGCACACATATATAGGCTCAGACCCTTTGAAAATAAAAGCGTTAAGGGCAAGCACGTCCTGGGAACTGGAGAGGGAGGGGTGACCCTGACGACCCCCCGCCCCTATGGGACCGACCACAACAGGTGAGTAAAAAGGAAAGAGAGGGACAGGCCGGTGGTGGTCCTGGGGGCCGGTGGGACCGGACTGTGGAAGTCCCATGAGGGAGGCGGGGCGGGGTGAGCGCCTGCCATGGAGTGGGTAGGCAGCCGTGCGCGCTCGGCCGCAGGCGCCGGGTAGGCAGCCCACCGACGCCCATGCGGAGCCGGTGGCCTACCCCCTGCATTGCAGGCGCCGTGGGCCCCCGTGGCATCGTAAATAAGTGCGCTATTAGTGCCGCCCGCTGCAGTATTGCGGCTTTGCCCACTCCCTCCACCCATAGTAAGGTGCCACGGCCCCAGAGGTCAGAGCGAGTATGCGAACCCTGAGGCCCGATGGGCACTTTATACTGTAAATTCAAGCGTACATCCACTTGTTTTTTCTCGATTTTTCTTGATTTTCTCTAATATTGCTGTTTTTAATTTTTTCTAGTTTATATTCTGATTCTTCCTGATTTTTTTCTGATTTCCTGGTTTTTCCTAATTTCTTTTCAGTTTACACCTCGGTTTACACAGATTATTTTTAGTGAAATACCCCTCCCATCTGCTTAGGGGGGGGGGGGGAGAGAGGCAGAGGGGTCACTCACCACTAGCAGTATCCTGCCGAGAATGGTCTGCACCTCCAGCTGCGCGGGGTCCTTGGCCTCCTGCGGGAGAAGCAGCTTCTCGCCGAGCTCGGCGCGCAGCAGGGCGGCCAGCGAGCGTTGCTGCGGCGGCGAGCAGCGCACGGACAGGTGCAGCAGCAGCGGGCACTGGCTCACCACGAAGGCGAGCTCGCGGATGAGCCGCAGCACGTCGCTGGCCGGCAGCCTCGAGGCGCACGTCGCGTTCCTGCACACCACGGGGCCGGCCACGCCGTCGTGAAGGTCCACTGGAAGGATAAAAACGTCGTTTATTATCGCAGCTTGACTTTATGGGGTGCTTCGCTCACCCCGCAGAGCCATACGAGAACCCTTTGCGCTGCCAGGCAGGGCAGACCAAGCCAATGGGGTAAACGAGACCATGGCTGTCAATGTGCCGCGGGGTCGGCGGGGAAACAGCGGCGCGGTGTTTCGTTACGCACGTTTGACGTATCTGCAGGGCTGGGCCAGGGCCCTGACGATGGCGTCCATGGAGGCGGTGTTGGCCGCGGGGTCGTCCGGCACGTACGCGTCGTGCGCGCTGCTGATGTAGTAGTGGCTGAGCGGCAGGTTGAGCTGCGTCGACGTCTTGTCGGCCGGCGGCGCAATCAGGCACTCGTCCGACTCCAGGAAGTGCGAGAAGCCTGCGGGCACAGAGAGGGGGGGCGTCACTCGGCGCCGCGAGGAGGGCGACACAGCGAGAGGGCAGAGGCAGAAATGCGATATAAAGTGGCATGTGCGCGGGGCGCGCGCGCGCGCGCGCTCTTCCGAGAAACTCGACACCACCAACAACCACGAACAAGGGGGAGGGGAGGAAGGGGGAGTGAGAACGGCGTAAGCCACGAAGCCACGCGCACTCCGCGCCCGCCAGGCTGGCTAGCTACCGCCGCGAGTCGACGACTCTGCCTAGCTGTTCGTGGAACTCCTCCTACTCCTCCTCCTCACCGTCGACTAGCAGGACACCCTGTTCCCTGGCCTCCGGACTCGGCTCGCTGCGGTTGATGATCTCCTCGCACTCGGCCAACTCCACGGCTCGGTCCTGCACAACAGACAACATGTTCGGGGTGAGGAGATGTTTTGAAAGGAAAGCCGCTGCGTATAGCGACGAGATCAAAAACACCACGACGCTCAAGCTGCTGCTGTTGCTGCTGCAGGCAGGGTACGTACCCCTTGTTCAGTCTCCAAGAAAGCCTTCAAGTCCTCCGCCGTCATGTACTCTTTGTGAGAAAACCTGGAGACAGAAACGGGGCGAGTTTATTTAGCATCAGTGAGGCGGCGGGCCGTCATT